ATAGAATTATATATTTATATATAGTTTGGTTTTAGTTTCAATTGTAGTTAAACTTAATGCATTTCCATTGCGCAACTGCAAATACTCACAGCAGCAATATAAATAATTTTGCGCACGCTTAAAGCCCGAGCAATACAAACACACACACACACACAGAGACACATACACACACACGCACACACATATACAAATGCAAAAATGTCGCTACCTAACGAACATCAGACAACGCACGTGCAACACAATCAAAACACAACACCAACACCAACTACACCAACACCAACACCAACACCAACACCAACACCAACTACACCAACAACAGGCAATACAGACTCTAGCACAGACAACAACCACACAGCATCACCCAGTGTGCCCAATGAGCTGAAGCAGAGACAGAAACCAATGCTCTCGCCGCTGAATGTGCGACGGCTATCCTCGTATGCGGCGCACAATGTGGCCGCTGAGTTTGGTGACGATGAGGGCGTGGCGCCGGCGCCGCCTCTATCCACAACCATCAATATGAATGCGCTTAGCAATAACAACAACAACAACACCAACAATAACAACAACTACAATAACAACAACAACAACAACAACAACACATCATCAACAACGTCCTCATCATATGCCACGCCCCCAACATACCAACAGCAATTGTCGACAATGACAACAACAACGCCGCTCGATTCGGTTAACGATGATAAATATAAATTATTTACCATCTACAATGGAAACGGTGAGTGAAGAAGGCGCAAGAGGAAGAAGAACATGAAGAAGATTCGCAGCAGCATCCCTCATTGTACATAGATCTGATCACTATATACCCAAAACAAACGATAACGATAACGATTGTGCTGCTGCCTCAAACTAGTCGATCTAAAGTACTCTTTGTGCTCGTTTCTATCTTCAACTCCGACTTTTTGTAGTTTCCTTTGAACTTCTACTTTCATTATTTGTATTTTTGATCTCTCTTTATCTATTTACCTCTTTTGCTATTTCCTATTTCCTTGTCTTATACCTTTTATCATTCTACTTGTATAGTTATTATTATTATTATTAAGGCTTTGCAGAGTATTCAGTATTTTTTTTTTTGATTGTCCGATTGCCGATGATTATATCAGATATGATAGGATATTATTTTTTTTTTTTTTTTTTTCTGTACGATTTATATTGTATATCAGATACGACCGTGTATTTTTTTTTTTTTTTTTTTTGTGTGATGGTGGAGTGAATTTGCCTTTTTGTTTTTATTTTTTTTGTTTTTTTTTTTAATTTATTAAAAAAAAAAATTAATATCAATAAATTATTTTTTTTTTTTTTTTTTTTGAATTAAAATTTAAAAAAATTTTATTCATCAAAATATTTTTTTTGTTTTTTTTTTTAATAAATACAACAAAATTGGTCAATTATGAAAAAAAAAAATTGT